CAGTTATGGCTATTATGGCGAATCGGGTGATCGAGCTTTGGACAGATTGGATCCAGCAGGCCCAGGCACTTGCATTTTATGTTCACCGAGTTTGAGCTTACACTGGATGCATATTTTGGGCTTACTCAAATTGCATTTGTGGTGTGGATGGCATGGCCTTAGGGATCCACTGGGTACATCCAGTTTAATGATTGGAATTATCATCATTCCTTGAGCAAAATAATTGGTAGTTTTAGTGTTGTTAGCGGCTGAACTTTGGTGTTTGCGTGATGGGATGTCATGGCTGGACTTGGATATGATGGCACACTGCAAGTGTACGCCGCCTCCCCTGTACCCCCGCCCGCCTCCGACGCAGACGTGTACTTAATTGCGAGCGTGTTTATTATCTGGCTGTTGCCGAACGTCATGCTCGTAAATTAAAATGACACGCTTTGCATATTCACTCTCTCTCGAACGCTCCTGGAGAGAGGAGAGCGCACACACACGGCAGCAATAAAAATTTTAATTATTCAATTAAATTACACTCGAAGGAAGGCGTCGCTGGGTGTTGCTTTTGGCCAAATGACTGACGGCCCATAAAATTGACACCCGAAGCAACTGGCACGACAGGACACTTGCTCAAGGATGAGGCTGGAGCGGGCACAATGCACTGCGAAAATCATATAAAAATCATGTTTATTTAATTTACATCACAAAGAGCGGCCCGGCCCGTTGTCGCAGCCGCCGCTCGTTAAATTCCCTCCTCGCGACACCAGCCCCGACCCTGACTGGCCACGCCCACGTTTTAAAAAACAATAAACCGCTGGGGTGCTACGCAGGCCAGGGCTGGCGCAGGGCTGGCGCACGTAAAATGATTAACAAATATGTATGGGTACCCCCTCCGAAATAGGCGCTGCTCACACAGATACGCAAACGGGGGCGTTACACGGCCATAAACTGGCGTACGGGACACAGGTGGGGAAAGGTATGGCAAGGTACGGGTCAGGGCTGTCGAAGGGACGGGCCACGCCGTGGGGCACGCAAGGCCCCAGTGCGGCCAGGGCATTGAGGCAAAGCACGCATATTTAATTAGCTTCAGGCACCACTGTCGTTTTGGAGGGTGGACAGGCTGGTGCCCAGAGGGGCTGCTGGGTATGGGCGATGTGGATAAGTTTAGTGACCGCACTCGAACTGTGCCACAGTGAGCACCGCCTCCACAGGGAATACTTCCTTTCAGCTTTGATTTGCAATTAGAAAAGGTGAATCGAAGCCACAGACAAGTTGCAGGCCAACAATGAATTGAAATATCAAGGAAATCGAATAAAAAGAATTACTCTTGACCAATCTTCACTGTACCATTCTTATGCTGAGCCACATGAAATGTAATATGCGAGCTGACGCCCCACCAGCACCCATTTTATATGCGTGTCCATGTTCATGTTGTCCCGCTGCTGATTTTGCTGTGGCCCCTGCCCCTGCCTCTGGCTCTGGCCCTGGCCTGCCTCCCTATGTTCTTACTTATGTTCTTGCCCCTTGAAGTTACTCCTTGCCCCCCCCCTTCCTGTGCTGCTGGTAGTTGTAGTGGCTGTGTGATTAATTCGCGCAAAGAGTTGTGCGCTTCCGTTTCCGGTTGCTGTTGTTGCCTGATGCCAGAGCGCGCGCTTTTATGTTTCACATTTCACATTTCACAGGAGGCTGATTTGTGCTTAGCCCTCCCCCTTCACTGCTCCTGCTCGCTCATTGCCCCTTGTGCTGTGGGCGCGGCTGTGGGCGGAGCGCAATATTAATTGTTTGGTGCCCAACGAGGCTTAAAAACACATGCTCATGTAAGCCACGTCCGTTACAGGAGCCCAGACATCCCGACATCCCACAACCTAAACCACACACGCCTTCTGTTTCATGTTTCTGCTGGGAAAATCTGATTCCAGAGAAGAAGAAGGAAGGGTTTGAGCTTGGTCCTGGGCTTAGAGGAGAACCACTACTGGATATCCCCGCAACATTTGACGCTTTTGCTTTTGCTTTTGCTTTTGCTTTGCCCCAAACATTTAAGATAAGAGCGCCACAATGGGTTGCGTTTGTGCCCCATTAATATGAAAATCAGACACACTTATCTTAATTAGTTAGTCGCATAGAATGAGTCGGGCCCGGGCCCCCTCCCCCCCCCCAGTCCAACTAAAAAGTGAACACTCAGGGGACAGGGTTGCCAAGTACACAGAAACACACAGACACACGCAATGGTAGGAGTCCATTTGGTCTCTTTTTTTAATAATACGATACACACTATGGACATGGGTGCGTTTTGGATATGAGTATGAGCCACACTGTGGCATGTGGCATGTGGCAGCTTATACAAATGATGCCACTTAACATGTAACAGTTAATTTTGTAGCACAAGCGACGCCTTTAGTTTGGGCTCTCCTTCTGCTGCTCTTTTTTCTCAGCTACTCTCGCCGGTGGGGGGTCCCCGGAGGCACATTTAGCAGTGGAGCTAATTTCCGTTAAGTATGCCTCATATGGAGCAACACCAAAGGGCTGGAGGGGGATGCAAGGATTAGGCAAAAATATAATCGTAAAGGGAACACCCTGGCACAGACATAGAATAATTCTACGAGCACGCCCAGCAGCGTGTGAGAATGTCTTCCTTCAATAGGGTTCCAATCATTAAAATTTGCTTTTAATGCGCCTGGAAATCATTCATACTGGATCAGCAGAAGTTTTATAATCAAATCTCAAGCCACCACTCCTCCCTGCCACGACAGACACCTTTCCGGTGCGGACTCTTTGGTATTGCAAAACCAATTGTTATATGAGCTGCGGCCTTTTGTGGTATTTAGTTTTTGTATAATATTCCCACTAGCATTGTTTTTCCGTGGAAGTGCAATAAACCCCAAAACAAAATGCCAACAAATACCCGCATGCACGTGCAGAATGGCTTGATATGGCTGCATGGCATGGAGTGGTTGCTCCTCGTCATTTATCAAAGTCAGCGTTTTGTAGGATCCAAACTCCATGTTCCACAACCCACAGAGGGTCCCCCAATTGAAAAGGTCTCACCCAGATGTACAGAATTCAATGCGCTGTAATGTTTTTGTGCCCTATCCCTATGGTTTTAGCATTTCGCCTGTTTTGTTTTAGGACTTTCACTTGGACAGGGCGAGATTCCCATAGAATTTGTTTCGATCCCCCTCAAAGTTTTAATAAACAACAATAAAATAGTGTGCATAAATACAATGCAAATAAATGTCAACAGACACATTTCGGGAGGCGCATTGGCATTCGCATCCACATCCGCATTAGTCTATGCCTTTGCCCCCATTCGATTGTGTGTTTCAAAATGCAACCTCTACTTGCTCTCTTTTTGGTCAACAAAAAAATATGGATACGGGCTGGCAAAATATTACACGGCATTTGAAAGAGTTTTTAAAACGACTCACAAAACGACAGAATGAGCGAGGGAGGCCAGGAAAAATATGAAATACTTTTATTTATTTTATGTTGCATTTGCATCTGTATCTGTATCTGTTTCTGCACATGTATTTGTAGCTCTTTCTATATCTGCATCTGCATATGCATCTGAATATGGATCTGCATTTGTGTCACACAAAGAGACAAATAAAAACAAAAGTAAAAAAACGACAGGAAAATACAGTATTTAAAAAGCGATTTTATATTGTTGATATTTCTGCATGTGTGGTGGGTGTGCGTGTGTGTGTGTGTGTGTATGGATCGGAATTATTGATTGGTTCTATGGAACAAGGACTGTGTGGCACTCCCCTTCTTTAGTAAATATTCAGACCTGGCCTGTCCTGAGCATTGCCCTGCCACCGTAACTATCAGAGTTACATCACTTTTGCATTTGCTGCCGAGAAAATGGCATCATGTAATTGCAATTGAAATGAAGTAAGCGTAAATTTTGCCTTAAAAACATAATAGCCAGGCCAGGGACAGGAAAGTGACTGCCACGATAAGAGGCATCCAACCCACCTCTCTCTGACCAGCAAAATGTTTGTTTCCTTTCAAATCAGTGCCCGGACCCCAGACCCCAGACCCCAGACCCCAGTACACTTCCTTCTTTCAAGCGTCTGGCCTGGGCCTTCATCTTGGCCTTCGTTTTCTTCGCCTTTCCACTCGGCTTTCCTACCAGAGAAAATAAATGAAAATCACTTGAATATACTAACGAGCTGTTACGCTTGCCAAGAAAAATATAATCAGCAGCATCATGTCTGCAGGTGCACTTAAAAGGCGTTCACTTTTATGCACCCAGCCACAGCCACAGCCTCCACTCCACGGCCACGCCCCTAAAAAGGAGAGCAATCCAATCCGAACAATGGTTCCAACAAAAACACAAAGTTGTTTAAACAATTAAAACAAACCTCTTTTTTTAGTTTTAGTCTTGAGGAAAAGGTAAAGGCAATGTCCAGCTTCAGAGACAATGGAAAATGGAAAAGTCTAAGGTTGAAGCGCTGCAGTTCGATGAGAAAAAGCCCAACAAAAAGTGCAGTCCGAGTCTCAGAGATGCCAGCTTCTCTCAGCCTACAAAAAGTGCGGCAATTTTTGTTATCTAATTCGTACACTCGGACAAAAATGTCATAGTAAAAAAAGTAAAAACAAAGAAAGATTTATTTCAAATAAATAATTATAGCAAGAACTATATTTAAATCCAATATTTGTCTGTACAGTAAATTAAAGTGTAAATATTCAAGGTATTTTTTCGCTGTGTGTAGGAATTAGTAACCGAATCGTTCGGGTATTCTCCTTGAAGTTATCCCAACCTTCAGCCCTTGGGACTTCGAGTGTTCTAGCAGCCAGCTGCTGTCCGCCTGCACTGAGTGTGCTCCAAAGTTGAACCACTCCGAAAAAAAAGTACTCCACTCGTTTCAGAGACGCTGATCAAGTTGGACAGAAGCTCGACTTCACTGCACTCAAAATCGCGGACAAGACCTGGAGCACTCGACTTCACTCCAATGCACTCCAGAGGCGACGCTGATGCAGCTAAATGGGATGCATTTTATGTTTGTTTATTTGTGTTTGTGAAGGCCACAACGAAAGGCGAAGCGAAGCGGAGATCGTGATCATGGCGAAGCCATAATGAAGCTGCAGCCAGATGGAGGCGCGTGCCAGCCACAATCTAATTCCCTGTACTGGTTGTTGTCATGGAAAATGACTTTGAACTTTATTGTTTTGCTGCCAGTGCCAGTGCCAAGTGCTCATGGTCTAGCCGGTTTCTGTTGCGATTTGGGTATAACATTTTCCTGTTGGATTTTGTGCGATTTGAATTGATCGCGTAACTTAATTCATAAATGCAGAAAAAGGAGAGAGAGAGGCAGAGAGCGAGAGAAATGGCAGGTCAACAAATGGCAGACACTCACTTTTTGGCCAGCACCAGCGACCGTCCGCCGTCTATCAACCGCTGAAGCTGCAGCTGAACCCAAAGTTGGAGCTGGAGCTGCTGCTTGTGTAATGGGAAAACACTATCCAGGCCGTTTGTCCTACTCCGAGGCCATATAAAAACGCGCCACCCGACCAAACGGAGGCACATTGCCAGCGCTGCAGTCGAGCAGTCATCAAGGCTGCATTCCCAGCAAAAGGTTCCAGAGCCCAGAGAAATGGCGAACGTTAATTTGGTGAGTGGGGATTGAATGAAATGGATTGGATGCGAGAATATTTAAAAGGCATTCTCAAGTTTTGCATGTTTTGCATATTCAATCGTTTTTATTATGCATACCCAAACAGCAGATGCCGCTCATTGCAGCCGCCACAACCATATTGACGATTGTCGGTGCAACGACCATGGCCAGGAATCCGCCACCTTCCGCCATGGGTGCGGCAGTGCATGGTGGCAGCTATGGGAACAATGTGGCCTCGTTGTACGACAACCGATGGCTGCCCATGAAGCAGCTTCAGTCGCGGCAGCATCATGGAAATCATGAAAGCTACGGCACAGGGGAGCGTCGCATACACCATGGAGGGTCGTCGTCGTCTGGACTGACTGCAGTGCTTAATGGACTCACCAGTCTATCGGGCCTGGGTCACATTAGCAACGGGTACGGCTCAGTGGCTCCCGCCCACACGGAGGCCCTGGCACTTGGGTCGTCCAAGCAGGAGATACCGATTTACGAGGAACACAATGAGGAAGCCGCCGTGGCGGCTGTGGCAGCAACGGCCAACGACTATGGCAGCAGTCTGGAAAACAATCAGCAGCAGCATCAGTCTCCCGCTTACAATTATCCTTCTGCATCGCACAATGGCGGATTCCTGCCCGCGTACGGCTACGGTTTCGGCGGCTCAGAGCAGGGCTATGGATCATGGGCATTATCAGCGCCTGAGGAACAGCAGCAACACCAGCAGCAGCATGAACAGCAGCCGTATGCCTACGAGAAAATTTCAATGGGAAACTTCCTACCACATTATGAGCAGAATTCTGGCTATGATGAGCCGCAGCGGCAGCAGGAGCAGCTCTACCAGCAGCTGAAGCAGCAGCAGCAGCAGGAGCAGCAGCATTCCTCCTACTTTAGTCCCCACGGAGAGACATCCGCCTCTGGCTCTGCATCGTCATCATCCGCATCGAGCGGTTCTGGCGATGACTATGAAGAGCATCAAGGAGATGGCCCGGAGCAGAGCTCCAACTACTTGTCCGAGTCGTCAAGTGGTCATAGCGGCCAGGGGGGACAGGGGGCGCATCACTCCCATCATGTGGATATCATCAACTATGTGCCGGTGAAGCATGTGAAGAAGCAGCACGTGCCAGTGGAGAAGCCCGTCAAGATACCCATTTCCCATGCAGTCATCATACCCGTACGCAAGCCTGTGCCCATCCACATACCGATCACCAAAACAATTCAGGTGCCCTACGAGAAGGAGCTGAAGGTGCCCGTGGAGCGTGTGGTGCCGGTGCCCGTGGAGAAGCACATACCCATACCCGTGGAGAAGCATGTGCCCTACCAGGTGATTAAGTACGTTCCCATCAAGGTGCCCAAGCCATTCCCCGTGAAGGTGCCCGTCTTCAAGACAGTCCTGCACAAGGTCAAGAGCTGGTGGTAGGATCTAGTACGTATCGCTATGAATCTCAACTCTCATTTGGATTCAGCGCACAAGTTTACTTTGTTATAATTATAAGCACATTATGCACCCCCATTCCCGTTCCTCGTCAACCAAAGCGAACATCGTAATGCAATTTTCAGCACTGCGCAGCGCAGCACAGCACAGCATTTCGTTTTTCCATTTTCAATGCCGTTTTGAGTTTTGAAATTCATTTAATCCTCGTGATGTACAACAATTTTGTGACTCATTTAACATTACAACAATTTGCATTCAAATACAAACACGAACGGAAACAGAAACAGAAACAGAAACACACACGAAGCCCGTTGAAAGAGAGTTGGGGGTTTACTGGTTTTTTAAATAAGAATACCCTGTAGTACTGAGGGTATGTTGTGGTGATTTATAAGTTTTCCATGAACTAAATTAGAAATTAATGAAGCAACGCCTGCAAATGCAAATAGCGAATGCATTTATGACAAAGCAACACAAGAACACCTTTTTTCTCCCTGCGCTGTCGACTTTTCGGTTGAGCACGATTGAACATGTCTGTCACATAAAAAGAAACAACAATAAGCCACACATTTCGCTGTGTGTGGGAGGGAGAGAGAAAAAGCTCTGTTACATTGCAGTGCAGAGCAGAGCATATCTCGCGAGCAAAAGCTCACGTGTGTGTAGACACACAGACGTAGATATTTATATGTATAGAGATGTGTACGCAGAAGTCACTTCTGTGATCGAAAACAGTTTCTGCAATAAGGAGACTGAAAGAAGTGCCGTTATTTGAGCCCAATGATTTTCGTTTAGTTTTAATTTCAGAATCTCTGATATTACGATCCCTTTTATCTGAAGATCTAAACAAGAACTAATCGTTATTGAAAATGTATTTTTATAGTGGAAAGAACTCCCAGCTCTTTCCAGGTTAGGGCTGCTCTTGCAATTCACGAAAGAATAAAAAACTTTGTATTGAACGAGATCTCCCAGTACCAGGTATCTCATAGCCGACATGCCCGCCATAATGCTCATACTTGTTTAGCAGTGATTTTACAGTGCATTTATCATGGACATAAACCAACTCCGACTCCAACTCCAGCGCCCTGCCATTCCTGCCATTCCTGCTTTTCCATGCTCATTTATTTAATTTCACTTTAAGCGCACACAACACAATGAAATTTGTGTTAAATGAAATGAAATTCATCTTCACAAAAGGCTCGCTCGCTCTCTCTCTCCCTCTCTCTCTCTCTCTCTCTCTCTCAGGCTCTGCCAAATGCCATTTCCAGACCATTACATCGACAGCTCGGACTCTTTATGTAGGGGCAAAGTACAGTGCCGTAGCAACCCTTGCACTCCAGGGTTTCCCGGGTCTAATTAAATTAAGTGCACACCTTTGTTGTTCCGCTACGCGCTGGCATGTCGCCGCTTTTTGCAGCTCTGCTTTGATTTCCCGTTGCCAGATGGGACGCTTTGCCACGCTTTGTTTTTCTTGGCCGGGGCATCCAAACTGAGTCTTGGTCCAGTTCTGGTAGAGCAAACTAGAAGCATTGAAGAAGCAGAAGTCTTTCATTAAGCAAAAAATTAAACAAAAGAAAATCTAGCAACATTTGATCGTAGAACCTGCTGTGCAGATCAACTTAAAGTTGAAGCAATCTTTACACCTGGAATACCAACCAAAGCCAATTCAGGGCAGAAACATTTGTGGCAGCCCGAAGAAAACAGCAACAGTCACATATCGCACTCAGTAGGATATTTGCTTGCCAGCAATCCCTCTTTCCCACGGCACCTCTGCCACGCACAGCCTCTTCTCTACTCTCCCTTGCATACACCAGTTAGGTGGCTCTTCCTTTGTCCCTGGTTGGCACGACACTGTTTGCAGTTTGGAGCTGGCGGATGTGGTCCTTTTGGCGTTCGCCTGTCAGTCACGCGGCTGTCTGCCCTGCTGCCCCCCCCTTTCGAGTTGCCGCGCTACTCTTGCTCCATTTACTGTGTATTTTTGATGTCTAAATTGCATTTTATTATGTCGCTCGCTCGCTCGCTCGCTCGCTCCCTGAGAAGTTAAACTTCTCTCCGCTTGCCACATATGGCTCCGCAGCAACGTTGTCGTTGCCGTTGCCGTTGCCGTTGCCGTTGCCTCTGTCGTTGGCTGGTGGCTTTGTTGTTGCGGTTGTAAATTTTATTTATCATTTAACATTTTTTACGCTTTTTATGCCGCTCCACCAGTCAGTGAGAGGGGTGGGGCGCGCCCCACCCAGCGACACACTTTAAGTGACTTTCCAAGTACTTTATTTTGCATACGCAAAAAGTATTTGCCTTGTCGCGTCGCACATGTGCTTGCGTGCGTATACGTAATATTGGTGGCAACTCGCTTTACATTGGACTCGCTTCCGGTTCCCTTTTATTTCATTTTGTTTTCTCCTCTTTTGGCTGCAAGAAGAGAGACGAAGACACCAACATCCTTGTCACAGGAACTACTCACAAATAAATTAAAGGGTATCTGCAAAGGGTATCTAAGCCTTCGGCCTTTGCCTGCTTGTGCATATTTTGATACACTCTTTTTGATGTAAAATTAAACATTTTAGTTATTATTATGATTTTCATTTGCCAACTTTATTAGACACATTGTCTTCTGCGTTTGTGTCTTGCCGCAATATTATTTTTACTTTGACATAAACATATTCCATTTATTATTTGTACGTTATTTAATGAGCTGCAAAGCTGGAGAGTCGGCGGGGAGTCGGTTAGCCTCTCGTCCGTGTATGGATGGATGTACAATGGAAACGAATATGTGCGGTGGGTTTTTAGTTTCCGGCAAGTTTGCCCTGTGTTTGGCCGCAAAATTAATTAATTTTAATTTGAGGCTGACAATGACACAACCAACATCCCCCGAACATCCCCCAAGAATATAATTATTAGGATACATGTATCCTAATTACATACAAATGGATTTGTGCACATACACGTATGTGGTGTGGCTTTGTTTTCCACCTTTGTGTGTACTTATGTGAGTATTTTTGCGACAATTATTTGGGAATGACATGAACAAAATCAGGGCGTTGATCACTTATCTGAAAGTATTAGTATTTCCACGCTGGCCCACAACATAAATGGATGCACATATGAAATGACTGAATGTCTCAACACTCTCAGTAAGAGAAAGATTTTCAAAGTTTCCCTCCTCCTCATAGCCTTCATTCGTTTTCCAAAATATGTTGGATTGGAATTTCCTAAGCGCCAATTGTAGCGTTGCAAGTGTTTGCAGCTGATTCCTCATGCAACAGACTCGTTCGGAAATGTACAAAAAAATGAAGTTGGTTTTAATAAAGGCACTGCCCTGCCCATGTGTGGCATGTGGCTATGTGCTGTGTGTGTGTTTGCACTTTTATTAAAAAACTTTTGCATAATGAAAGTTTTGCCAGCTCTCTGTCCAAATTGTAGAGGCAATATATTTATAATTCCCGGATAGTCGGTTCACTTCAGCTATTTACATAAATATTTGTGCAAAAGTTAAGATAAAAATGATTTTTTTGAAGTGTTTGCCTGCTGCACAACGCAACGCAACTCTTTGGCCTTTGTGTCCTCTCAATGTTATCCACTCACCCACATTAAGCAGACTTCATTTCATTTGAGCAAGTTTTTATTGATTGCTCTGCCTTTTGACAGGCATCTCTCTCTCAAAAAAAAAAACATATTCACACACATTCTGTGAGGAAGCTCCTCAGCAACAACAACAACAACAACAACAACAAAGAGGAACAACAATGTCTATACAATGGGAATACGAATTTTTATTGTGGCCACAATGTCTGAGTCGGGGGCTCCGGCAATATTAAGAGGAACACTGAAGAGGCTCTCTCTAAAAGCAATGATACTTTCATCCCCACTCCTCTGCTCATGTCATTGCCACGTAAGGCGGCCACTCAGCGCGATGGCGGTGGCTCAGTGCCTGATGGCTGATGATGGGCGCACACACACACACACACACACATACGAACAGACACCCACACATATACATTGTCGCTGGTGTATTTGGGTGTGGATTTTCGGGATATGCGCGAGCTACATGTTATGAATTTTTTAGGGTCTTTGCTTAGGAGCACAGACAGACAGGGGACAAAGGCAGGGACTCACGGACAGCCGGAAGGACGGACGGACGGACGGACGGACAACAATAAAAGCCTGTGGCACGTGTGCAGTGTGCCGAGATTATGTCTACGTTTTGCTCAAATGATTTACACATCGTCTGTGTGTTTCTTATCCGCGCGTGGACTGGCTTTCATTCGGCCAACCGCAGTTACCAATTTGCCATTGCTCTAAGCGCGTGTTTTTTTTTAGAAATTGCTTACAAAAAGTATCAGGCCTAAAGGTGATTTTTTGGCCATGGGCATAAGCCATGATTGGCCATAAAAGATGCTTAATGTTGCCTTGAATACATGCAGGGTTATCTGTAGATCATCTACAGATGGTAGAACTAATGGGCTCAAAATGCTAACAGCAGCATTCCCATTCGGGAATGGATGCATGGGTCAATGGGTGAGCAAAGGGTGCAGACACTTCAACAGACATTTGCTTCAGCGGAACCACCGTGTCTGGGCGTTGTGCAACGGAAGTGCAATGTATCTGTATCTGTATCTGTATCTGTATCTGTATCTGGAGCTTATGTACCTGGCTGCCTGTGCACTCTGCAGTTGGCTTTTATGGCACTCGAGGAAGCTTGTGTCTGCTTAGTGTTCCACTCGGGGCGTGGCAAAAGAGCAGGCTAATTTATTAAAAACGGATATATGAGGCAGAATTGTATACTATATTTTGGGCGGGAGTTCCAGCACATCGCACTGCCACAGAGCTCATAATTTTCTGGTAAATAATGTGCTGTCAGCATGTCAACGGCTCTCTCTCTCTCTCTTTGTCTCCCTACCCAAACTTGCCACGAAGGTAACAAAAAGAAAGCATATTCGACCAGTTCTTGACCTCAATCAGCTGGGCATGTCCTTGCCACCAACTGCTAGCTTCGAACCAGTTTTAGGCACAAGAATCAAGTGTAAGTGTACTTTGTTATGGGAGTCTTGTGGAGTGGGCACCGGGTATCTGATGTTCGAGCCACTCGATTGTATCGTTGGCCTCTTGTTGCTGTTGCCTTGGAACATTTTTGCTCATTATGTGTGTGTGTGTGTGTGTGTGTGTGTGTGTGTGTGTTTGTACCTGCGATGGCAATGACAACTGCAGCTCATCCGACTGGACACAGTTTTGGATTTGAAATATGATCCGATGAAGCTGAAGCAGGAGCTGGTTGCAGAAGCTGCCTGCCATTTCAACGGCAATATTTAGTTTCATTTCTCAACTGAATGCTCTGTCAACTGAAGCTGCCTCTGGGCTTTGGGCACTGCGCACTGCAGAGCATTGTGTCCGATGACATTTAGCCAAAGGTAATCATATTCCTGCAGTTTCTCAGTGCAAAACTGTCAATCAAAGTCTCTCACTCTGGGTGGAATATGTACATGAATGAAAAATAGTAGAGAGGCCGAAGCTGGAGCTGAGGTTCAGGCTGAGGCTAAGCCTTAAAACTGATATTCAAGCAGACGTCAGTGGACTTCAATTAGAGACATTTTTGATGAGCACTTGGCCATCCCTACGGCTTTTGGTTAGTTCATTTGGCTGTTAGCTGCTGCTGGCCTTGAACGACCAAAAGTTGCAACACTTAATTGCCACACAGAACCCCTGCCCCAGCCAGGGGGCAGGTTGTGAAATATTGATACTTATGCCGGAGGCCAGAACTCGTTTTGGAGGGTCTCTCAGCTCGTTTTAAGCGCACTTTAATGGCAATTATACGCCCGAGTAGTTGTTTGTGTTACCAAACTTTGGCTCAGGAATGGGTGGGGGTATGAAGCGTCAACAGAAAGGCAAGACAGACAAACAAAACCCCACACACAGCCACATACTCGTGCACGTATCCCAAAGCCCCCAGACGATCCTGGCAGCATAAATCCTTTGGAGTGGATAAAATACTTGCCAACATTTTGCTTGCTGCTGCACGCACAAGATTATTAAAGTTGTGTGTAAATAGTTTATGGTAATCATAAAAGATACACACATGCGAGACACAGCAGCATTTTTGCTTTACGAGCGGTCTTCCACGCTTCCACCTTTGGCTGCGTAAAACTTCAGACATGAAATATCACTCATTCGCCGCGCTGCTGCCACTAAAATTGCAACTCGTTTCCTATCCAATAAACACAGTGTGGCTCCAAAAATTGTTGCCTGAAAGTGCTTTTGGCCAAAAACGGGCGAGCGTCAACTGTTTTCTTGAAGTCTCCCTTTGAGTTCACATCAAAAATAACAACTTGCCACCTGAGTCGCAAATTTTGATGCTGCACATAAATTGAACAAAATCGGCTGCTGCTGCCACAGAAAAGGGTTGTCCGTGCCGGTGTCCATGTCGCTGTCCCTCCCCGCTGTACGGGGCTAAAACTTTTCGTTTCCTGGGCGCTAACTGATGCCTGGCCGTTGCTGTCATTTTTCAAGGGCTTCCCACCCAACCCACACCCACACCCACACCCAGACAGAGATCTGAACCAGTTAATGCTTGCCCAGTTGCTGCTGCTGCACAGCAATTATCAAAGTTTTTGAGGCAAAAGTGCTGATTAATTTTTAATGTTTATCTCTGCTGCTGGTTGTACCTGTCCTCCCCCCCCCCGCAGCAGCACAAAAGTGTGGAGTCATTTCCTAAATTATAAAGTCATTTGGCTACCACCAAAAAACGAAGCCGAAACCGAAACCGAAACCCGGCGGTGATTTAAGCGCATTCTGACTTGCCGATTCGGCGGCTGCCGCTTCTCACTTTATCAAGTGGACGCAGAGGCAAGGCACACCAAGGGGCAGCGTACACTTAGAGAAAAATTGAATAATGATATTGATATTTATATGATTAGTGTAGTATTTAGTGCATTAAATATATGTTTGGCTTAGCCGTAAATGTCTCTAAAATTTCATTTTAATAAATTTAAAAGTTAATAAAATCTTTCAAATTTATAATAATTATTAATTTATTTGTTACATTTATTTTATATACATGTCTAAATCTCCGTGTAACCAACATATTTTTTCTTTGCGTGTTCTGGCGCGAGAGAGAGAGAGAGAGAGAGAGTTTTGGTGCCCCCCTCACACGTGTCGAATGCGTGACAAATTAATTGTAAACAGCCGCAGGGTCGTATTTCGATTTGTTTCTCGTGCTTCTGTTTCCGGTTTACCGATACACATGTTCCACATACACGTAGTAGTGGTCCATTGTTGCTTTAAGGCTATTTTTTTGGTGACAGTTTGACAGAGCAAAAACATTGCAAGCGATTCATTATTTTGGGGGGAAACAGTGGCACGTACAAGGACACACACATATGTGTGTATATCTATTATCTATTACTAACGAAACCGCTCGTGGTCGTGGGGCCACTCGCCGGCTCGCAGTTGCCGGAGTCTCATCAGCAGAGAGTCGTCGCGGTCAGCAATCTGACCGGACGCATGTTCATTGCGTTTTGCGGCTTTCGTTAGTTCGGACTGTGCCCCCGTTCCCGGTCCGTTGCGGTCACATGGTCACAAAGTTCCTAACGAAGCGGTCAATGTGTGTCCTGCAATTATGAATTTATGTGCATTTATCGGGCAAAAGTCCGCTCCCGCACAGTCGCATTGATTCGCACGGACATATGATTATTTAATTTGATTTTTAGCTGGGCTTCCGGCTTCCGGCTGTTTTGCGGCTTAGTCTCTGCACACTCCATAAATACCAATCATAATCATTTTTGGCAACAGAACAGGCCTCTAATTGTGCCCGTTACTAGTCTAAAGTATATTTATTTCTGATCAGCATTCAGTGCAGTTTTATAGGCAGCTCAATCGTCTTTAGTTTGCTTAAGTTACATTCTAGATTTTCGCTCGCATGTGCTCTGTAGAAGTACAATGGCTCCCACGTCAATTAGAGTTAATTTCATTAGCCGGCAATAACTTGCAGCACTTTCCGCAAGAAGTTGCCTCTTGGCCTGGTCTCGTGCAACTTTACTTTTTGGCTAATTCTGTTGCTGTTGCGTTAACGCCTCGCTGAAGTTGAACGTCGCGTTTATTTTGTGCGTCATTGTTGGCTGCCACTGGCCCAGCAGCTCCTGCCCTAGGATCTGCCCCTGCCCCGTACTCTGCTGGCAAAAGTTGTTCTTGTTGCAGTTGCAGTTACATTTGGCAATTAGCCGCTGCATTTTCTTGCACTTTCGCTACTTTTGGCCAGGGGCCTTGGCACTCCACCCATTCCCCCTCTCTCAATACATATTTATTAGCCGCATTTGTTGGATTTTAGCTCAATTAAAAACTTTTACTCCGGCTACTTTTCTTCATTTGGGACCTCTCGACTCCGATTTTGGCCACGACTCTCGACTGCCGACTGCCGACTGCCGACTCCCGACGTCAACTTCCATTCGGACTTTCGAGTGTCTTGTTTTGCCAGAAGTTTCTTTTCTTTCTCTTTTTGTGTTGTCTTGTTGCAAGCACTAATTGCAATTACTTGGGTCTGGGAAAAGGGCAGAGAATTGCTTGAAGAACAACGTTAGGAATTTATTATTAAACACTGCAGATCGCATATGCATACAAAATACTCGTATTTGAAGACATTTGCTTCAACCCAAGAGATGATTGCCAGCTGCTGGAGCCCAACCACCCGATGGCACGTAGTGGGGATGCTGTTTGTGCACCACCGTCCTTACCACGGGCACTTTGACGGGATACGGATAGTAGACGGGAGTGGCCACAGCCTTCTCCACTCGGTAGGGCACACGACGCTCGACCACAAACGGAATGGGTCGCTCGACGGGCACAGGTTTGATCCGCTCGATGGGTATCTTCAGCTCCTGCAGCTGGGGCACGGCCACCGTCTTGGTGACGGGCACCTTGATGGCCACAGGCCTGGGCACGGCGGCTATAACGGTGCGAGGCACCTGCAACTGCAGCTTCTCTTTGTAGGGCACCAGCAGCTTCTGGTAGTGGGTGATGGGCACCTGGCGAGTGATCTCAATGTGCTTGCCCAGCGGCACGCCGGCCAGGGCCTTGCTGCTCGTCGGTGTGTGGTGCACGCTGCTGGTAATCGGTGGCAGGAAGTTGCCGCCACTTTTTGCAATGTGCGCGTCGGTGTGGGAGTAGAGCAGCTGCTGCTCCTGTTGATCCTGCCGGCTACCCAGTCGCTGGCGTTCCCGCGGCTCCTTCTGTCGCTCTTTCGCTTCCAGTTGCCGTTTTCGTAGGTTCAGCTTCTCTTCCTCCTGCTGGCGCTTTACAGGGTTCACCAGTGTCTGGCGCTCCTTGATCCTGGAATAGACACCAGACTCATTGTCCTCCCCCGCCTCCTGCAGCTCCACAGTCAGAGCCTCCCTTGCCGGGCGATAATTGGAAATTTGTTCGAAATGGTAATGGCTGTAGGGGGGTTGTTGCTGTTGCTGTTGCTGAGGCAGAGGCAGAGGCAAAGGCTGATATCCATAGCTTTGATAGGCAGCCCCAGGACCAGGACCAGGACCAGGACCAGCGACATTTGCCTCATAATTTCCAGTATTAATGACAAAATCGATATTACCCCGCTGTCCGTGATGCTCGGCCTGCTCGTGCTCCCCTCCACCGCCATAGAGCGAGTGCAGCGGCACTTTGCTGTCGTAGTGGGAGGAGAAGGGCACAAATCCATTTGCCGTGCTGCCCAGCGATGGCCAGAGATGGTGTGGGGCATAATTTCCATATGTGGCCCTGGCCAAGTCATCGCTGCCACCAGAAGTGCCATAATAATTTCGTGTATATCCTGCTAATCCTGCCAACGACTCTGCCGCGGCCGCGGCCGCGCCTGTGTCATGGTAATTGCTTCTGCCATGTTCCACAGGCAGAACCACTGGCGGCAGCTGGAATGGGAACGCAGCAGCAGCAGCAGCAGCAGCGGGAGAGTGCGGATGCTGATGGGATGGCAGTGGCAAAGAGGCGTCCAGCGCCTCCACTTGGAGGCCGCTGCCGCAGCTCATTGTTATGGATAGCAGGAGCCACATTAATGCATAGATCGTTAATGAACTGTTGGCATGTTGGCCCAACCAACCGCTAGGAGGAGCCGCCATGTCCGTGTGTCCTTCGTGTCCTTCCTGTCGTGTCCTCTCGGTGCTAAGCCTTGGGGCTTGGACTTTTGGTAGTGCGTGCGCCAGTCTGCCGTCCAACTGCTGTGGCTGTTTGTCCGCTTTCAAATGTAAATTTCCCTTGGCCGCGTTTTCGATTTTATAACAGCCGCCACATGGGCCTGCCCTGCCCTGCCCTGCCCTGCCACTTCCCCCTGGTAATCGGATAGCGTGGGCACACATCAAGTTCATTGGCTCCTCTTCCGCCTCCTCCTTGTCCTTCTCCTCCTCCTTCTCTTCGCTTGGACTGCATAACTTTCACTTGTTCCGCGCAGTGTCTTTTACCTTTCAGATGCGTGTGCAGCGATCCGATCTTGATTGTCGGCTCGTTATGAGATTTTTTCACCATGTGCCGCCATAGGGACTGCCACTTCAGCTTCCTTGCCCCGTGACTCGTTTTACATTTGATTTTACAGCTTTTCATCACTGCCTTCGCCTGGCAGTGCCATCAGCCGCATCGTATCACATTTCCCATTTTCCACTCTGGGCAAGCTTGCGGTCAATGTCGCGTCGCGGCCACTTCGAGGAGTGCCGCCTGCTCTCTCCCTATGTGTTTTGCACACCACAACCCGCCTCTGGTGCATGTCTCTGCCAAGTGACACAATCACGGGGGCCAGCCAAGTCTCTTGTTGCCGCCGCCGCACTTTCTGTTTTCAGTCAATGACATTAGGCAATCGATGTTCTTGCATCATTTAGATCTGCCAGCGACAACGACTAATGTTCTGACTGCACATGGAGAGAAAAGGTAGAGTGCACGAGTGCAAGGGCGAAGTGCATTAAAGCAAATTCAAGTTCAGAACGCAAAGCAAAGAACGCAGTAGAGCGAATTCAGACTAAAGCGAATTCAGACGAGAGCGAAATGCAGATCGAGAGCGAGCGAGCAGAACGCAAAGTAAGAACGAGGAAGAGCGAATTCAGACGAGAGCGCAAAGCACATCGACGAGAGAGACGCAGAGGGAGAGTTTCAAGCCAGTCTACGGCGTAATGAGAGATGTTCTCATTCCAGTTCTTGTATTTCATTTACTTTGTATTTCATCACAACAACTCGTACTCTTTTCTCTGTGTGTATTTTATTCTGCATGCGAAATGAAATATATTTTTTTACCAGCAGCAGCCACAAACGAGAGAGCTTGATAGAATTTAAGCGGGTAAAGCAAATGGAGATACTTATAGTACGCGCAGCGCCTTTGGATCATTCATCATTCTGGGTTTGAATTTAAGTTGGAAAATAAGTTTCACCGCCACCCCAACTACTTGCCGCACTCTTTTCGGCACAAAGTATTTGCACAATTGCTGGCTCTCGAGAGCTGCTGCTGCTGCGCCCCCGAAATGACAGCGCCAAAGTACACGTAAAGTGTATTTTCACATTGAATGAGGTTAAGCTTCGTTAAATTTTGCGCAGCTTCTCCCCACAGCCCCCCAACCAACGCACCAACCAACCAACCAGCCAGCCAGCCAGCCAGCCAGCCACCCTGTCTGTGCATGTGTGTGTGTGTGTGTGTGTGTGGGTGAGTTACTTGTTGGATGCATTTTTTTTGCGTTTCTTTTTCATTACTTGAAATGCTTTCAAGTCTTGTGAAGCATATTTTAGCCAAGTTCCATAGAAAGAGAAGGCTGGCAGCCAGGGGCACAGGAGAGGGTTGGTGTTGCCTGGTCAAAATGGTGGCTTAGAGTGGGTAAAAAATCAACGAAAAGCTGCCAAAGTTAAATGCTCTTTTCCTACACACACACACACAAACACTTATTAAAGTTCAAGTTGCTTTCCATCATAAAGTTAACAGGAACGAGAAGAGCCCAACCCCTTCCCAAACTCCGATGCCTGTGACACTGAAACTTCATTAAGTCACGTTAAAACATTAAAATGAGGCAAGAGCCCCACCCCACAGGCAGCGGGCTGAGCCAGAGGCCAAGGGCCAAGTCCAGCTTGCAAATAGCCAAGAAATTCCAGCCATGGGCCCTTTGTCTGGGCCCTCCCAGGCACATCAGCTCTCCAAGAGGTGCGGCAGAAAGGGAAGCCCGGGCAGCGTTGCATGCGAATTTAATCAAGTCATGCAGTAGAATTTAGGGTTCCATTGCCCACCCCATTGCCCCCATCGATGCTGCCTCTTGGCCTTGGATTTTAGGAGCGGCAACCTGTCCTCTTCTTTTACTTCAGAGGACAACCCTCCTGCCTAGCATTTGTGTAGCTTCTTGTTGCTTTCTTTTTCATGTTCGCTTTCAATGTTTGGGTTAAAACAATTTGCGGTCCTGTCGGAGGGCAAGACATTGTGTAGGCAGTCTTTTTTTAGTTATTTTTGCTTGTTTAGCGAATTCTTTGGAGTGTTTTGTCAAGTCTGGACAGGTTTTAACAAGTTATTTTAGTTATATTTTTAATAATAAAAGTAAAACCAATATTTTCGACTTTTCTCTCTAATTTTCAACTCATAACGAAACGTCAGCACGTCCAGTGCGAATGTCCAAGAAACGAGACCAAAGACGGGAGCAGGTCCAGTATTTTCATTACCTTCTTCGGCCCGAGAGTAGATTCCTTTCCCGACGGCCAACCGCAATCAAAATTCCAGGCCGCGGCTCTTAATTGGTCTTTCTTCACGGTAAAGGAACTGCCGGCGCCGTTTTCTACTTTTCTGCTTTTCTTTTGGCCGTCGCTGCTTCCTTCGTTTTTCATTCATTTGATTTTCTTTTGGGTTTTTGCTTTTGCTTTGCACCCCGCACAGCCCCGCACAGACCCGCGACCCATACAAATGCAAATTTCAATTACGCGTATTGCGGGGCCAAATTGAAATGCCTTGGAAAATATTTTCATGCCCTCCTCCACTCATAAGAAATGCACCACAGGAGCGGGAGTAAGCCACCGCCACCCTGCCCCCCCTCTTGATCAACAATCGCGTGCATTTCATTTGCATTTGGAATGCGGGCGGCAACTTTGGTCGTACTTGAAATTTATTTGCTAATTTTGTAACATGTGTCCTCCTCCTGCTGCTGCTGCTGCTGCTGCTGTTGTTTGTGCTAGGGCGGGGACGGGGGGGTTGGTGGGGTAAGTCGAAAAGTTTTTCACTCCCAATTTGAATGGTAAATGGATGGATAGTTGGGGCGAAATCCATTTGGTTTCTGCGGTTAATGAAATTTTCATGTGCCAAAAGTTTTCTTTTGCAAAGATACTCGCACTGTTGACCCTGCCCGCAGTCTGTGGCTTCAAATATTTCCTTTAATTGCCATTGAAATATTTAATATTAATTAATGGGCTTTAATTGCTGGAGACTTCTGTGCGCCTCAAACTCATTAAAAACACATCAGACCTGGACACTGGTATTAATCTTAATAATTACTGCATACTGCCTGTGCCAAGAAAGAATGCCGTGCCGTGCCATGCCATGCCGCAAAACGATGCGAAAAGTTGACCAAACAAAAGCCTCAAACTTGGGATGGATCCCGGAATGTCCCACGCCCCTGACCAAAGGCATTTCATCTGACAGCCGCAGAGCCAGAGACCAACTTTTATGCCATTTATTTATCTCCTATTTATGATGACGACTGACCACTGGCTTTGGCTTCTTCCACTTAACTTTTCGAATTATTAATGAATTCCGTTGGCCTTGAGTGCGATTTTGCTTGAGGTTACGGGCCCGTGCGCAAATAGAATTTTGCATCAAAGTCAAGTTGAATATTAAATCGATTTGCCGGTGCATATTCATTTATGTTTTGCCAAGTGAATTATGTATTGTGTTGTATTAGTTCTGTATTGGCAACATCAATTCACACATCTCATAAATAAATATGATCTGACGGCAGAAGAAAGTGTGTGCTCTAAGGTAAACATCTTTGCAGTCGGGAGCTGTTCTCTGTTCTCTTTTTGCAATGCATTTGCTCTCCACATCTATCAGATAAGAGTCCAATCCATTTCGTAATGCTTCTCTTACAGTGGCGGTAACTCCTTCGGATTGCTTGCAGCCAAGCGAGAGAGTGGCGACAGGCACTAATGAAAACTGACACAGCCTCGTCCCATGGACTTACATTTACATATATGTATGTATGTATGTACATGTGTGTGGAATGCTGCTAGTGGAAGCGCTTTTAGTTTCTGGACATTGATGGACTGCATTTGATTAAATTAGTGTGCATTTGAGTTTGAAAAGCATCTGCCTAAATGGCTGCCATCGCTCAAATATCAACACAGAGAGCGAGAGGACGTGCAGCCCTTGAAACCCCAAAAAAATAAAGAAAAAACAAGACAAAAAACGAGTATGTAGAAATGTACATACATATTTACATTCGTACATATTTGGTGTGGGGTGGCGCAGACCGCGCAATGTAATCGCAGTTAAATTGAAAAAGTTTACCCCATTTATTTGATTTTTATTGTGTTTTTTTTTTCGGGAGTACTCACATGTATACAGATGGATACCCCCCCCCCCCCCCCACACACACACACACACACACACACACACAAACGTGCATCGCAGAGAGTGGCCGCAGTTAGTTTCGTGCTCGCTGCGAGAATTTAGTATTTTATTGAGTTGTTTTGATGGTTATTTAATGAAGTGCAATTTCAGTTTTCGCACACTCAACACCACGATTTATTCAAGAACGGTTCCCCGGCCGTGTGCGGGAAGGGAAATGGGCAAAATGTGTGGGGCTGGAAAGTGGTGCGCGGCATGCGGGATGTGGCTGAGTGATTGCTGGATAAAATTAGGCATGATTTTCAAAATGCATTCTCGATTTGCCTTTGTATTCGGATAGTGAGAGAGGGAGAGTACGAATGCATTCAATTTGGCACGTTTCAATATAATATTGAGCGCTTTTTGTGCGGTTGGCAATAAATCAGTGGCCGAAAGCGAAACAACTCAATCACTGACCGC